CTCTCCTATCACACATCATCACTGATGCCGCTTTAGAGCCCTGTCAGCGGCTCGGGGTGGGGACACGGCCACTCCCAACCCGAGTCTGAGCAGTTCCAGGGCAACAGCGCCAGCGGAGGGAATGGCTGTGACGGCCGATCTTATCTTGTGTCAACAACACTCAGCTTTAAGGGGAATGATTGCGGGAACAAAAACAAACAAACCCGGCTCGGGCACACCAACCGCTCCCGAGACCGGGGGGAGCTTCAACCCTCCAGGATTCCACACCAACGATCCAAATTGGTCCAAACTGGCTGAGGACCAGCAGAAGGATCTGCACCTCCTGCCACGGCCCCAAGGACGGGCTTGTTTGGGTTTACTGTGCAGCAGGAGCCTGGCAAGGTGGGGGAGGACCCGGCTCAGCCCTGTCATCCCAAGGCAGAAGGTTCCAGGTGCAGGTGGTGGGAACAGGAAACGAGCACCAGCTGTGCCTCTCCCCACCTTTTCCACATCCAAGTGTTGTTTCACGGCTGTGAGGGAATCACTCACAACACATCATCTGCCACACAGCCCCAGTGGAGGTGACAGCAGGTCACTGGCAGGGGTGACCCAAGGAGATGCTCCAGAAGCACAAAAGCCCTGCTTGCAAAGCCAGGAGTCCTCCTGTAATCCCACACATCATCTAGTCCAGGAAGCAGCTGCAAGTTGGCTCTTCTTGGGTACAACCTCCAGGCTTGGTTCAGATCCACAATCCTGAGCAGCTCTGCTGCTTCCTCACCATGGAATCCTCCTCCTCCTCCTCACCTGCCTCTCCCCCAGGACAGGGCCAGGACCACTCTCCAGCCAAGAACAGTGGCAGCAACCAGCAGCCATCACCTTATTTCCCATGTGGCACACAGTATTCCTCATCTGAAGGTCCAACAGATCCCACAACACTCAGAGCACGCTGACCCCAAAGGTGTCCTTCATGGCTGGCCCATCAGAGTTATCTCCAACCACATCTGGAGGTGACTGGATCTGAGCCTGGGATGCACAGGCAGGAAGTTCCAGCAGAGCTGACCCAACTCCACATCTTGTTCTCCCCAAATCTGACACGGCCTTTGGCCACACAGCAATGCCAGCAACACAAGCAGCACACCTGGAGTGTCCCAGCCTTGGTAATGGGGACAAAATCAGCAAACCAGAGCTGAGCAGTGGTGGAACAGAGGCTGTGGAGGGGATTTCCTCCAGCAGCAAGGCTGGGAGGTGTGGGAAATCACCGCCCCACACCTCCAGCAGCTCCACCACCCACCCAGGATCAGGACCCCCATCTGCCAGCACAGCCCTGTGCCCTGGTAACGGGATCCCACTGCTGCTCCTGTCTGCTTCTGCCACAAAGGGCTGGAAGCATTTCTTTTCCCTTTTTTAATAGGTTTTAAATACCTCAATTAGTGCATTTTGGGTTCCTTCCACATTGCCCACAAGCAGTTCTTCTGTCAGGGGCTCTATCCTTCCACTGATGACTATTAGTGGGGCACGGGGTTGTTATTTTTTCCAGGCCAGGGGCCAAATTTGTATTTAATTTTTGCTCCAGATGGCACAGCACTCCAGATGCATCAGCTGGAGCATCGAACCTGCATGAATAAAGTAATAGAGCAAACAACATGATTTACTCAGGGGCTGTTTGACACGCTTAAGGTGCTTTGTGTACATCTGTTGTGTAAAAAAAAAAAATTGCATTCAAATGAATTCAGATGATGGTTTCACTGTTAAACCCAGCACCTGAGGGAAATGAAACAGCAGTAGGAATCTAAAAAATAATGATGATGATAATAATATTAGAACTTATATTTTGCTAATGCAAAGTCAAGGATTTTTTTTTATAAAAAAAGCTGATTTCAGCCATCACTGCTGAGCATAGGCCTGGGTTTTGTTCACCTTCCTCTGTCCCCAAAGCTGCTGCTGGCAGTGGGTGTTGCAAACCAGGGTCAGAGTTCTCCCAGGAGAAGGGCTGGTGATGCCAGATTGCAGCATGTTGCTGAGAGCTTATGGCTCTGCTCAGCCGAGGAGATGCAAGGAGGACACCAGAGGACAACCACGAGATGTTCCAGTTATGCTTCTGGCAAATTCACCCCGTTCCCAGAAAGCTGCTGCATCCCTCTGGCACAGCCTGCAGCCGGGATGTGCTCCCTGCAAACTAAAGCACCCAAAATAACTCCGAATAGGAGGGGAAAAAAAAAAAAAAAAAAAAAAAAAAAAAAAAAAAAAAAGAGACATTGAGTAGTCGGGTTTATCTGCCCGGGCACATGAACAGCCGCCGTGTAAAAACCAGCTGAGCCCGCAAACGCTTGGAAACAAAGGGATGGGGGGAGGTGTCTTTTTGTGCTTGGCTTTGCTCCGTTCAGAGCATCCTTGGGCTGCGAGAGCCCGTCCTGGCGGCACCCGAAACAAAGGAAAGCCGGGAGCTGTAGGCAGGAGCCAGCTGGGGAAAACCGGGACGAGAAGGAGGAGGAGGAGGAGGAGGAGGAGGAGGCACCCGCATCGCCCTCCCCGGCAGCTGCGAAGCCGGGCTCGCGTGTTGCCGAACACGTTATCCATGGCAGGAAACTCGAGATCAAAGGCGAGGAGCGTGCCAGAGCAAGATGTCATCCAAGCCTCCTGCCAAAGGTGTGCAGGGAGGGGGAAGCACCCCCAGACACACACGCTGGCACATCCGACCCAGCTCGCTCGTGGGGTGACCGAGACCCACGGCGTGCTCACCCTCCTCCGTGCAGCCCGGCGAAGACAAAGCCGGGCTGAACCGAACAAACAAAATAAAACCAAAACCCCAAACCGCAGGAGGTGCATTTTTACCCGTGCGCTTCCAGTCCCCAGGGTCCCACGCTAAAGCGGCGGCCGCAGGGAGGGCACGGACGTGGCAGGAACAGCAGCCCAGTGTAACTCCGAAAAAGCAGCTTTTCCCCTTTTTTGGTTGGTTTTTTTTTGTTTGTTTGTTTTTGGTTTTCTTTTAAAGCAGGAGAAACCCGCAGCGTCCTGTCTCGGCCCCAGGAAAGCAAGGGGACGTGTCTGATTCCAAGCCAGCGGCCACTGGGAACAGAGGTGACCTGGGGACCCTGAGCCCAGCGTGGGGTGGGACCCCAGGAGCTCCACATTATCAGGGGGTCCAGGCAGGATGGGGACATGGCCCCTGTCCCTTTGTGCCACCCCAGCATCCCTCCGGGGTGATGCAGCCCCAGTCCATGGCTCCAGCCTCGGGGCTGTCCCCTCTGCCCCACAAGCGGGACCTTATGGCAGCCCTATAGTGCTGCCAGACACCTCAAAAGCACAGCTCAGACCCCTGAGGGATGTGGGGGCTGCTCCATTGCCCTGTGGAGGTCCCTGTCCCAGAGGAGACTATGGAGCAGGGAGAGAGGGACCCTGTCCCCCATGGGAGCTGCTGAGGAGGGGGTGCCGCTGCCCCACAGCGGGGGAGGATGAAGGGGGAGCTCCGTCCCATAGGGCACGGCACAGAGAGAGGGTCCTGCCCCACAGAGGGCTGGAAAACAGACCCTGCCCCACAGAACAAGGCACAGAGACAGGGTCCTGTCCAAAGAGCAGATGGAGGAGGGACCCTGCCCCACAGCACAAGGCATAGAGTGAGGGTACAGCCCAAAGAGCGGATGGAGGAGGGACGCTGCCCCACAGAACAAGGCGCAGGGAGAGGGGATGCAGCAGTCTCGTCCCTACAGAATAAGGCGCACGGAGAGGGTACAGCCCAAAGACGGGATGGAGGAGGGACCCTTCCCTACAGAACAAGGCACAGGGAGAGGTCCCACCGCACAGAAGGGTTGCAAGAGGGTCCCTTCCCTACAGAACAAGGCACACAGGGAGGGTCCTGCCCAAAGCGCAGCTGCAGGACGGACCCTGCCCCACAGAGCGCTGCACAGGGAGGGACCCCAGGCACACAGGGGGGATGCAGAGCGGTCCCTTGCCCACAGAACACGGCACAGCGAGGGGTCCCACCCCACACGGGGGTCCCCAG